TTGTAATGAAACTTGGAAGTGAAAGCGAGGCATCTTAAGATACAACTGAATTTCAGCTGCTTCCTTGATTTTGATATTCCATAATTCACAGATCCAAAGAAGCAGAGAAAACAGAGCGAAGAGCTACACTAAGATCTGGAAATCATGGAATTAAGAAGCGGGTTTCCGCTTCTACTCCAGCAATTTCAGGCGCTGTTTAAGAAGAATCTCTTGCTTTCATGGCGGAGCAAGTGGGCTACTTTTCTACAGCTATTTTCCTCTCTCTTTTTCATATTCCTCATATTCTGTATTCAGAAAGCCATGGAGGCTCGCTTCAGCTCCTCCACTGCCATGAGCGATGTTCATCCTGAACTCCAGGCTAACCCTCCCATCCCGCCTTGCGAGGACAAGTACTACGTAAAGCTTCCTTGTTACGACTTTGTGTATAGCGGCAGTTCAAGTGCCAAGGTTCGTGACATTGTCGGAGCTATAATGGCCAATAATCCCGGCCGACCCATTCCTCCAAATAAGGTGCGTCTTCAAAATTCGACTTCTTACAATGCTCCTTTGAATTCCTAATTGCGAGTCTTCTTTGTAGGATTAGTGGAGATTGGGATTTTCCAGAAGAAATATAGTACCCTGATTATAAACATTATATTTAACGTAAAAATATTTACTATTAATCTCATCATGCCCTGCTTTCTTCTTGGGTTTGGAATTATAAGTATTAAAGATAAAATGGTGTTTCTTCTTGGGTTTGGATAAAATGGTGTTTTATGTTTTTTTTTTTTAAAAAAAGAAAAAGAAAAAGGAATCTGAATTGCATACTACAATTCAGTGTCATTTGGGAGTTGGAAGATAGTGAAATTGTCAAAAGGATTTAGATAATTGTTTTTCTTTCTTCAAATATTCAGATGTTCTGTACTTTTTGTTCTCAAGAAATGAGAATGGGAATCCTTACATTTAGATAGACTTTTTATACATGGCCAAATGACAGGTTCGATCATTTGGTACACCTGCTGAAGTAGATGAATGGCTTTTTAACAATCCCATGACTTGCCCTGGCGCCTTGCATTTCACACAAAGAAATGGGACTGTGATTAGTTACGGTATACAGACTAACTCAACTGCTGTGGCAGAGAGAGGGCACTATGAAGACCCCACCTTTAAATTTCAGATTCCACTTCAGATTGCTGCAGAGCGTGAAATTGCTCGATCTTTGATTGGGGGTAATAAGCTTAGTTCAGTGCTTGAGTTACAAAATTCATTTCACTTCTTAGAAATAATAATCTTACTCCCATTTCTCCCCGCAATGTTGTATTTTTTTGTGCCATTCAGTTCCCAACTTTAGCTGGATTATCAACTTCATGGAATTTGCACACCCTCCAGTGGACAACTTTTCTGCAGTGAATACTGTTGGGTCAACATTTTTCCTAGCCATTGCCATGTTTGGTTTTGTTCTTCAAATTAGTTCCTTGATCACAGAAAAAGAGCTCAAACTTCGTCAGGTCTATGTTCTGGAATAATTAACCATACCAGAATTATCATTTTCTGTATCATTAACTTTCTCTTAGTCTCTAACAAAACCTTTCCCCCTCAATTTCTATGCAGGCAATGACGATGATGGGTCTGTATGATACTGCATATTGGCTGTCATGGCTCACATGGGAAGGAATTACCACACTTATTGCATCTCTTTTCACGGTTCTATTTGGAATAATGTTTCAGTTTGATTTTTTCTCTAAAAACAATTTTGCAGTTGTGTTTCTCGTCTTCTTTCTCTTCCAACTCAATATGGTATGATGGTTTCCTGCAGTGGTCCTTTTTCCTTAATTTTTTTCTTCTTTTTTCTAATCTTACTCCCTTCAAATGATTTTTATGTTAGGTTGGATTTGATTTTCTGTTATCAGCCTTTATAAGCAAGTCGTCTTCATCCACTACTGTGGGCTTCTCCATCTTTATCGTTGGATTTCTCACTCAGGTAATGATGCACTTTTCTCAAACTCTATGTAAACAGTAAATAACTTCACAATAACTAAATCGCATTTTTCCATACAGCTTATCACTGCATTTGGATTTCCTTATTCATATGACTTTTCAAAGTTCTTTCAAATCGTCTGGTCCTTTTTCCCACCTAATCTTCTAGCTAAAGCTCTTTCTCTGCTCTCCGATGCAACTTCCAGCCCAGCAGGCCAAGGAATCAGCTGGAGTAGACGGATGGAGTGTGCTCCAAATGATACTGAATGTGTCATAACTTTAGTATGTTATCAATTTAATGCCAAATTAATAGGCTATAGGCCCGGCACTAGTCATAACAAGACCTCAACTTTGACCTTTTTTTTTGGATTTCTGGTTCTGACAGAATGATATTTATATATGGCTTATGGGGACATTCTTCTTATGGTTTTTCTTGGCCATCTACCTTGACAACATTATACCAAATGCAGCTGGTGTGAGAAAATCGGCCTTTTACTTTTTAAGGCCAGGATATTGGACAGGGAAAGGAGGAAGTAAATTGAAGGTATTAAAATTTGGAAACTACATGTTTTCTACTCATGGCTTTCCCCTGGAGTTCAATTCAATTTTAACTAGCAATTTCTGTTTTTCCCTTTTTCGATAGAGGGTGGCATCTGCAGTTGCTTGGGCACACTTCCAGTACTGGAGCCTATTACTCCAGATGATGAAGATGTCCGTGAAGAGGAAAACACGGTGAAACAACAACTTTCAGATGGAATAATGGATTCAAATGTCGCGGTTCAAATATGTGGCCTTGCAAAGACCTATCCTGGAGCTTGGAAGACCAACTGTGGTTTCTGCTGTAAATGCAAGAAAACTCCACCTTATTATGCTGTCAGGGTAAAAAAACTCTTTCAATTTTTTGGTTGACGTTGGCAAACTGAACATGAAGCATAACTTTCTGGACATATCAAATGATCTTATAATTTTGTGCAAAATGCAGTTATGCTCTTTTGGTTTATGGTTTGAAATTTTGACTGCCACATGACTTATGCGATGTGGTTATAGTATCAATGAATAATTTGTAACTTATAAATGCCCTGCTTCAACTATTTTGTCATCAGCATATCAATGGTGCAATAATATAACGCTTAAATGAGTTTCAGGGCTTATGGGTGAACTTTGCAAAGGATCAACTATTTTGTCTCCTTGGACCAAATGGTGCTGGGAAAACCACAGCAATCAGTTGTTTGACTGGAATTACACCAGTGACTGGTGGAGACGGTAATGTGATCTCAATCAAATTCTATTTGATGGACATAATATCACTGGATTGAAGGGAATTACTAATTGAGCCATATATCACTTGACAGCATCAATATACGGATATTCTGTTTGTGACTCTGTTGGCATGGCAAACATTCGTAGAATTGTTGGTGTTTGTCCCCAGGTGATTTATCTTGAAAATTTTATCAATGTTTTTCTAAAGATCCTCTCTGAAAAACTATGTGTTTGTTTGGATTTTGTGTATGTCACAGTTTGACATCCTGTGGGAAGTCTTGTCTGGGAAAGAACACCTCCATCTTTTTGCTACAATAAAAGGCCTCCCACCATCTTCCATAAAATCTGTATGTAATTCTCTAAACAAGTTCTGTTATATCGAAGTCAGACCAATTACACTTTACTACATTCATAAATTCAGAGATTGTTATATGTTTTCAGTATTCTCACCTACAGATGTGCATTTAATCAAATAGATCGCAGAGAAGTCATTGGAAGAAGTAAGACTCACTCAGGCTTCAAAGATGAGAGCTGGGAGTTACAGTGGGGGAATGAAACGTCGATTAAGTGTTGCCATAGCTCTTATCGGTGATCCGAAGTTGGTCATCTTAGATGAACCGGTATGCTAATTTAAGTATAACCCTTGGAGATGAGTTTGATGTTCACACAAACTCAAAATCTTTCTAAACTTAAATGCAGACAACTGGAATGGATCCAATAACAACGAGGCACGTATGGGATATCATCGAGGGTGCAAAGAGAGGGCGCGCAGTTCTTTTAACAACTCATTCTATGGAAGAAGCTGATATCTTAAGTGACTGCATCGGAATCATGGCGAAGGGAAGGCTCCGTTGCATTGGAACCTCAATCAGGTTGAAGTCGAGATTTGGTGCTGGCTTTGTCGCCAATGTTAGTTTTGCCAATACCAAATCGACTGGCCATGAAGAAATTAAGCAGTTCTTCAAATCTGTATGTTCAGAAAACTAAACTGATCTTAAATTTCCCTATATTATATAAATGTTCTAATTTTAACTGAAATCATGCTATAATGATAGCGCTTGGATATTCTACCCAAGGAAGAGCACAAATCTTTTCTAACATACATCATTCCTCATGACAGAGAAAAGCTTCTGACGGTAACCATCCTGACTTCTACTCTCTCGAACTTTATTTAATTAGTTAAGACTAGAGAGGATGTCATGAATTAATTTTGGCACCCCGTTAAAATCACATTCTTACAATTTACGATGTTGGAGCAGAGATTCTTTGGTGAACTTGAGGAGAGAAAGGGAGAGCTTGGAATATCTGATATCCAACTCAGTCTTACAACCCTTGAAGAAGTTTTCTTGAACATTGCAAAACAGGCAGAGCTGGAAAGTGCTGCAGCTGATGGAACTATGGTGTCTCTAACTCTAACTACATCTGGCCACATTGTTAAGGTAAACCCAATAAGCTTTGCATCTGCCTCTACCAAAGTGGAACTATGGTTTTATCAATATTTTTGCCTTTTAGGCAAATCATTTGATGATTCTATGACATTACAGATACCAGTAGGATCTAGATTTGTGGGAATTCCAGGGACAGAGACTGCAGAGAATCCAACGGGGATTATGGTAGAAGTTTACTGGGAACAAGATGACTCCGGTGCCCTCTGCATATCCGGTCACTCTGAAGAAATTCTGGTGCCCCCCAACGTGCAGCCATTGGCTTCCATGAGATCCCTCTCTTTGAGATCAGCTTCACAGAGACATGGCATTGTGTATGATCCTGAACAAGTAGCTGCTTACAATTCTCATTGAACCTACCACCCTTTCTCCTACTTCCATGCTTCCAGTTTTGTAGATTTATAAATTTGGCATGGAAATTTTTGAGCTTGATTCATTTATAAATGGATGTTAATTGTGATTAGACTTCTCGTCTTCTTTCCTCTTCTTCTCCTCCTCACCTTTTCCGGCCAACCTCGCCACCGCCGTCCCGTTGCTCAAGTGACAGCGGTAGTCGTCGCGTCCAGAACTGGGGAGAGAGGCAGAGCAAAACCGCCGCCCTTATTTTCAGGAAAAGAAAAAAAAAACTTTAATTGGCTGGTGGGTGTGGCGTAAAATGAAGACCCATTGCAGAAATTCTTCTGAGAATTATTAATTGCTGAAGATAATTGAAGCGCAGAGGAGGCGACGGTGTGAAAGTGGTGGTGGCGGCGATGGTTGAGATGAAACGCCGTCGCTTCCTGTTGGATTTAAAGGGCAAACCGGCTCCGTGGCGACGCTTCATTCGGGTGTTCCAATAGTTCTTAATTTTGTTGTTAGTTCGACTATGAACATATACACAAATGCATTTTTTTAGATCACATTTATTATAAATCAATCCTCTAAATAGTGTATATGTCTTGGATCTAAGATGAGAAAAGGGATTCATCAAGAAGACTAAACTGATACTTTATAACATCCATTCTATCTGACCAACATATTTCTAAAATTTACAAAAAAAATTGTAAAAATGCTGTTTATCCAACAGGCGTAGAAATAATAATTAATGTAATTTGTACTCACATAATCAACTATACATATAAATTCAACCATATAGATAAAATACAAATATGAGAGTGGTATAAAAATGGGAGATCTGATGAAGGGAGAATCATGAAAGAACATTGAACGCCTGTGCTCCTCGAGCAACCTTAATAAACACATCCTCTAATGTTGTATCAGCCAGACCCCAAGCAAAGACTGTGAACCTACTCTTTGCATTTTCCACTGCTTGGAACACATCCCCTATTTGGACCTCGTGTTTCGGCAATTCGAATTTCTGAGTTCCTGATATGTGGTAGATCTTGCTAGCACCGGGAGAGAGCTGCTTCACCATGTTCTCGACATCTACGTCGTGATTCGCAGAGGTAGTCATTGTGAATACATAAGATCCTCCATATCTACCTTTCAGCTGTAAAACACAATTCAAGTGTATATCAAGATCAGTCATGTCAGAAAATCAAAAGCTGATCAGATAATTAGTTTGAGGATGCGTTGGAGCTTTTTTGGAACATGATTCAAGTACCTCCTTAGGATTTCCTATGCACTGCAAGCTACCGTCAACAAAGATTCCTAATCGGTCGCATAATACCTCTGCCTCCTCCATGGAATGTGCTGATAATAGAGTAAAATGAGGTTTTTGGTCAATATCAGTATTTAGAGGAAGATTGAAGTCACAAATTTTTTACAGCTTTCCAATTTGAATACTAGTAAGACATAAATTAAGTTCATACTGGTAAGAATTATAGCTCGATCCCGCTTTGCACGTTTCACAACATTCCATAAACTGTTTCTTGAAGCTGGATCAAGTCCAGTGCTCGGCTCGTCCATGTAAACAACCTTGAAAAAGTTGCAATGAATTTGGTATTAATATTAACAAATGAACTCAAGAAAGTTGTTGGAAGATTAGTAAATCAGAGAACAGGAACTTACTTTGGGGTCCCCAATTAGTGAAATAGCAACACTAAGCCTCCTCTTCATTCCCCCACTGTACTTCCCAGCTTGTTTGTCCGCAACTCCTCCATGGTACAAGTTGACACCTTTTAAAGACTCTTCCACTGCCTGTGCCAATAAAATGGAGTTGGAAAATATGAACGCACAACTTCTGTAAAGAACAGTCATAAACGAGTGACCAAGATTCTTTTACAGTTGATCGTCTTGAGATAAGAGTGTAGTCCCTTACTTCAGTTAGTGCGGAGCCTCGTAGATTCTTCAGTCTGCCATAAAAGAGCAGGTGCTCTCTTCCGGTGAGTTGTTCCCACAGCAAGCTACATAGTTGAACAAAAGAATAACATTTTTAAGGTTTAATCTCGCAAGATGAAAATATGAAGACTGCAAGAGACCTCAAGCTTACTCGTGCTGTGGACATACTCCCATGCTGGTATATATCATATCCATATCGTTCCGTATATCCAGACCTTCGACAAATGCGGTGCCAGCAGTAGGCTTTGTGAGGCCAATCATCTACATGAATCCAAGCTAATGAATATAGTAAAATGGAACAATAAATATGAACTAGAAAATTCTAGATAAAACAGTAA